CAGTTTAATGGTACTTCTCCAGTTCCCTTTCACCCCATCCATACCCTTGAAATGTATGACAATGGGTGCATATGGATTTTTCTTTGTCACCTTCCCCACCCCGTAGAAAACAATGAAAAACAAATCCCAGGCTAGGTCTACACTACAGCGGGGTTCCGACCTAAGATACGCAACTTCAGCTACGTGAATACCGTAGCTGAAGTTGCGTATTTTAGGTCGGCTTACCTGGCGGTGAGGACGGGGGAAAGTCGACCGCTGCCGCCGACTCCGCTGCCGCCTCTTGCCGAGGTGGATTTCCGGAGTCGACGGCAGAGCGATCAGGGATCGATTTTACCGCGTCCTCACGAGACGCGGTAAGTCGATCCCCGATAGACCGATTGCTACCCGCCGGATCGGCGGGTAGTGAAGACATACCCCCAGAGTGGCAACCATCCTTGAATTTGGGTATTAATCTTTGGTTGTACCGTGCACTGTCTCACTAAGAGTGACAGATTTGTAACTACTAATCTTATGGTTGTCTACACTTAAAATGCTACAACAGCACAGCTGCACTGCTGTAGTGCTTCAGTGTTGACATTTTCTATGCCAATGGGAGGGAATTCTTCTGTTGACCTAGTGCTCTCTACACAGGGACTTAGGCCTTGTTTACACTGCCACTTTTCAGCGCTGCAACTTTCTTGCTCAGGGGTGTGAAAAAACACCCCCCCGAGCGCTGCAAGTTTCAGTGCTGTAAAGTGCCAGTGTACACAGTGTACTGCTGGTAGCTACTCCCCTTGTGGAGGTGGGTTTTTTACAGCGCTTAGAGAGCTTTCTCCCACTGCTGGTGCTGTGACTACACAGCCATGTTAAAGCGCTGCCACGGCAGCGCTTAGTGAAGACATGCCCTTAGCGACACTGCTCAGGGCGTGGATTTTTCACACACCTGAGAGTCATAATTATGCTGTCCTAATTTTCTAGTATAGACCAGACCTCAGACTGTTTTCCATTCCCTTCAAATGTAGGCAAGACACTGAAATATGAATACCATTTTCACTAGCCCTATCTAGCCATGTTCTAAATGTGGGATGTATTTGGAAAGGAAACATTTTTGCCTGCTCAACTTCTTTCTGTAGCAACAAAAGGGCCCAGTTCAGAGGTGAGTCTAGACTGTTGCAAATTACACCTTCTTACATTCTCCTCCTGTTAGATCAGAGGTGGGCAAACTACAGCCCGCAGGACCATCCTGCCTGGCTCCCGAGCTCCTGGCCTGGGAGGCTACCCCCGTCCCATCCCTGCTGTTCCCCTCCCCTGCTGCCTCAGCTTGCTTGCTCCACCGCCACCGCAATGCTCTGAACTCCTGGGGCAGCACAGCTGCAGAGCCCGACCTGACCTGGTCTCTGTGCTGCGTGGTGGCAGCGTGGCCTGGCTCCAGCTGGGCGGCGCAGCTGTAGCGCTGCCAGCCACTGGCGCTCCAGGCAGCGCGGTAAGGGGGCAGGGAGCAGGGGGGGTTGGATAGAGGGCAGGGGAGTTCGGGGTGGTGGTAGGAGTCAGGGGGAACAGGGGGTTGTATGGGGGCAGAGGTCCCAGGGGGGCAGTCAGGAAGGAGGGAGCAGTTGGGGCAGGGGTTTCGGGGGCAGTCAGGGGACAGGGAGAAGGGGTGGTTGGATGGGGCAGGGGTCCTGGGGGGGCGTCAGGAATGAGAGGGGTTGGATGGGACGGCGGCGGGGGTCGGGGGGCGGTCAGGGGATGGGGAGCGGGGGTGTGTGGAGGGAATGGGGGGTTGGATGGGGCAGAGTCTCAGGGGGAGGGCAGATAGGAGGTGGGGGCCGGGCCACAACCCCCTCCCCTAACCAGCCCTCCATACAATTTACGAAACCCGATGCGGCCCTCAGGCCAAAAAGTTTGCCCACCCCTGTGTTAGATGCTTTTCCTGTTATATCTCTCTCTTCTGGCCCCTCAGCATGTAGGTTACACTAACTTGGACTCACTGGGTCAAATCCAGAGGTTATATGTAAGGGGGTGTAAATTACACATTGGTAAGTGGGTGTGAATCTCATGGAATTGTTGATGTAATTTATATGCATCCGAAGAAGTGGGTTGTAGCCCACGAAAGCTTATGCTCTAATAAATTTGTTAGTCTCTAAGGTGCCACAAGTACTCCTGTTCTTTTTGCGGATACAGACTAACACGGCTGCTACTCTGAAACCTGTAATTTATATGGTGAAGGGACTGGAAGATGCTACAGCAGTTTAGGCTTCCTTACATCCAACTCTGAATTTGTCCCAAAAACTTCTTGCAAATAGCTAAATATTGTAATACTGGCTCCTGTTTCATTCATGGAGAGAGGAAGATATGGTACCTCCAGGAGCTTGGAATGGTGTTATCTGTGTGTTGTACAAATGATCTTCAAATCTTCCAGCTGAGGATGCTCTCCTAGCTCCTTACAAATGGATCCAACTACTAGCAACGTTCACTAGTGTTCTTTGACACTGGCCTAGGACAGTTTGAGCTGAGAAAAACTTTCAGTTTTGTTATTAGCAACTTTAAATTGCACACGTGTTTAAACCTCAAAAGTAAAACAAAAAACAATTCCTTATTATATTAAGTATATTGGCAAACCTTTGTAACCTCTTGCACTTAAACATGTATGTAATACTGGCAGAGGAATTTTCAGAACCATAAATATGCTTTAACGAATTTTCTCTTCAGTTAGGTATGTGAATTTCAGTGCTAGTGAAAGGTGCTGTATTCCAGTTAGCTATCTTAGGGCTTTATACTGCTGCTCATCACCATAGTATCAGAATGCCTTCTGATAAAATTAGCAGCAATAACAAAATCCCTGCTGGACTTCACAGAGTCTCTGTCTCTTCTCCCTTTTTCCTTGCTTGTGTGAAGTCCTGTATATTCACCGAATAGGTGCAGTAAGAGTAGTATCAATGCAAGCTTTCCCATGCTGTCTACTGTAAATTAATCATGACTTAGTGGGCCCATCTCCTTAGCCTCTCTGGAGATTGACTACAAGGTTGCAAATTTTGTGTGTTTGGGGGTAGAGGGCGGAAGTGATGGGGAACTGGGTTAAAGCCACACCAGTTACTGAGCTGATGTGGGTTTGAATCAGTGACCTGTAGTTGAAAGGTTCTGAGTGTCACTGCTGATCTCCTGAGCCATCTAGTCCCCCTTACAGATGTATTATAAGTATAAGCACTGTTACTGATTCTGTTCAGGCTCTTGCACTATCATCACCACGATATCAGAGTGCCTTTTAGAACGGCAGAATTCTCGGGGGCTATAAACAAGTGCCTGCTCCATGCTTATACGTCAGACATTTTGCATACGTATGCTCGTCCATCCCTATGCACCCATTGAGATCTTCATGTCCCAAATAGATTTTCTCACCTGTAGCAGAGAGCTGACTGACTTCTCTGGGGGTTGGAACGGTGAACAAATATAAAATGGTAAAACTTGGGTCAGAATGGAAGACCAGTGTCCTCAAAACTACTGAGAAATAAGAAACATTCCTTTATTCTACACCGGAATGTGATAATGAGGGTAAGTCTTTATCAGACAGAACCCAGTTCCAGTCCTGTCTTGTTTCTTTTCCCACCCCGCATCCATTAGCAGGAAACAGGGTGGATTTGATTTAAATCACTAGTCAGGAAGACTCGATTTCATCATGGTTTTCTACATAAAAGTGCATTCTTGTTGGTTGTTATAACCTTAATACATATTCTTCATAACTCCGAGATAGATGTAGGTTTCATTTTTAGAAGGTACACACTATACATTTTTAAACAGTATCTATTTTGAAAACTGTTCAGATTAGTTTTACAGCTATATCAGAAAATGAATGATTGTTTGGTTATTTCATTTACCAAAGGTAATTGAAGCAGATATTTATGAAGTCACTGGGAGGTGAACTATCTCCAATTCAACAGGTTAATCATTAATATCTGGAGGATTTTCTTGCCATACTGTATTAGAAGGAGAACATCACCGGACAGACATTTAAATTGTTTTATTTAACTAAAACAACGTTAAGTATTCTGGATTTTTTTCTTAATAGCAAACGTATAATATTTTAACAAAACAAGCAAATGTCCCTTGCTTCTCACATTTATCTCCAGACTTCTCCTTGTCCAGATCTATTCCGCCCCCAACAATCTTCTATTCATTGAACTTTTTGAAACTTTGTACTTTTAGAGAGAGGTAAGGAATTGACCCTGTGTACACAAATTTGCAGAGGGACAATAGAGTTGAGGTCTGTTATTTCTCACCTCTATATATTATTTATTTATTGTAAAAATATTGTTGCTGTTAACAAGCATGTTACCTCTGGAGACACAAATCCACAGTTTGAGAAATGCAAAACTAAGCATCTCTGATGGTATCTTCTAAATTGAGCACTGAGTCCCATTGAGTAGATAGAAAGATAAATAATCTATACAGAGGCCTATGGAACCCCATAAGGGTCCCTAATCCATGAACTACTGGAACTCATTTACAAACATTTTTCTTAAACATTACATGAATATATTGTCTCATACTATAGAATTAGAATTTATAATCCCTATTCCATGATAAGATACATTATAGCTCAAAGATATCCTAATTAAACCTATCTTTAGATAGTTTTTTTTCCTCAAAAAACATTTTATCAAAGAAATCCAATTTAAAAAAAAAAATCATTGATTTTTATCAACCCTGGCAGGTAATAAGCACTGCTATTGTGCCCATTTTGTGTTTCATGCCTGTGTGAGGTTTGAATAAAAGAGTTGGAAATCTGTCCCTAGTCCACAGTCTTTTAGTTGAATAAAAATGGGTCAAAAGCAGGCCACTTTGTCAGTTAAAGCAATGCTTGATGCATTTCTTGAAGCTGCTTGTAAAATTCTCTGGAATCTGAGTGCTAACAATTTCAATAAGCCAAAACACAGCAACTTTCTCCCAGAACTTTTAGACGTCCCCCCAAGTCTCTCTTTCTCTGTTTTCCCAGCTCACTTTTCCTTTCTGTCCTCTTTCTCCAGAGTCAATGCCTGTGTAGATGTAATCGTCTCTGGTGTGAAGCTGTTGCAGGCACTTGGTCTTGATCCTGGGGATGGGAAAGATCATGCTGTCTTGAATTCCAGAAAGGACCTGAAAGAAGCCTTCATCTATTTCATGCAGAAAGGGGCAGCTGCTGAGCGCTTCTTCAGTGATGCGGAGACCTTCGATCACATTGCACGAGCAGCGTCAGAGTACCCTTGGGCACAGGTGTGTTCTCTATTTTAGGGCTAGACTGAGAAGGCTTATCCTTTGTACATGGACAAACTGTATAGCAGCTTTCATGGCCCTTTTCATACTTCAAAATGATCGTGCAAGAGATTCCGGAAATAAAAATTTACACTGCTGCTTTACTATATTAACTTTAGAAAAACTTGATCACTTTATGTGAAGCTGCTAAGAATCTAAACACTCTGCTAATGCACAGATTCTTTCTTTGAAAATGTAATTCTTCTCTAACTCTGCCTATTGGTAGGATCCTAAATCGCAGAATGTTGAGTTGTCTCTTCCTTCTGCACATCCCAGCCTGCCAAAAGCTGCATAGCATAGCATATACTTTGGCTCTGATAGTTTAAATGGCATTCACAAGAATGCTGTTGAATATAATGTAGGCAACAAATGAAATGTCTGTTTTATGACAGAGGGCCAGGGCTGATACCACAAAGAAGGCTCTAACTTTTTTAAATGGTACAGGTGGTGAGGGGGTGGATCCAAGAATAAAGAACTGAAAACATTTCCATAAATTTCAGAAGCTCCATGATATAAGGCTTGGAAATGCACATCTCTCTGGCATTAGAGAGAGCTAAAGAGAATAGGCAGTCTTTCTAAAACACCCGTCTCCTAGTTGGTTCATCTGCTCTGATGTACATTGGGCCTTCTGGAGTTTTTTGCCATGTGTCCATTTGGCACTTAGTGTTAAGGTAGATAATTTCTGCAGATTATTTATGTAGAGTTTTCCAAATGCTCTTCCGAGCCAGGAAAAGCTCTGAATTCTGCAGCCTGCTAAACAACCAGTGGGGCCCCTCCATGACCGAGATACAAAAGGAGCGCTTAAAGATGATAAAGTCATTGCGGAGAAACTAAACGAATTATTTGCTTCAGTCTTCACGGCTGAGGATGTTAGGGAGATTCCCGAACCTTAGCCGGCTTTTGTAGGTGACAAATCTGAGGAACTGTCACAGATTGAAGTGTCACTAGAGGAGGTTTTGGAATTAATTGATAAACTTAACAGTAACAAGTCACCGGGACCAGATGGCATTCACCCAAGAGTTCTGAAAGAACTCAAATGTGAAATTGCGGAACTATTAACTATGGTTTGTAACCTGTCCTTTAAATCAGCTTCTGTACCCAACGACTGGAAGATAGCTAATGTAACGCCAATATTTAAAAAGGGCTCTAGAGGTGATCCCGGCAATTACAGACCGGTAAGTCTAACGTCAGTACCGGGTAAATTAGTCGAAACAATAGTAAAGAATAAAATTGTCAGACACATAGAAGAACATAAATTGTTGGGCAAAAGTCAACATGGTTTCTGTAAAGGGAAATCGTGTCTTACTAATCTATTAGAGTTCTTTGAAGGGGTCAACAAACATGTGGACAAGGGGGATCCAGTGGACATAGTGTACTTAGATTTCCAGAAAGCCTTTGACAAGGTCCCTCACCAAAGGCTCTTACGTAAATTAAGTTGTCATGGGATAAAAGGGAAGGTCCTTTCATGGATTGAGAACTGTTTAAAAGACAGGGAACAAAGGGTAGGAATAAATGGAAATTCTCAAAATGGAGAGGGGTAACTAGTGGTGTTCCCCAAGGGTCAGTCCTAGGACCAATCCTATTCAACTTATTCATAAATGATCTGGAGAAAGGGGCAAAAAGTGAGGTGGCAAAGTTTGCAGATGATACTAAACTGCTCAAGATAGTTAAGCCCAAAGCAGACTGTGAAGAACTTCAAAAAGATCTCACAAAACGAAGTGATTGGGCAACAAAATGGCAAATGAAATTTAATGTGGATAAATGTAAAGTAATGCACATTGGAAAAAATAACCCCAACTATACATACAATATGATGGGGGCTAATTTAGCTACAACAAATCAGGAAAAAGATCTTGGCGTCATCGTGGATAGTTCTCTGAAGATGTCCACGCAGTGTGCAGAGGCGGTCAAAAAAGCAAACAGGATGTTAGGAATCATTAAAAAGGGGATAGAGAATAAGACGGAGAATATATTATTGCCCTTATATAAATCGATGGTATGCTCACATCTTGAATACTGCGTACAGATGTGGTCTCCTCATCTCAAAAAAGATATACTGGCACTAGAAAAGGTTCAGAGAAGGGCAACTAAAATGATTAGGGGTTTGGAACAGGTCCCATATGAGGAGAGATTAAAGAGGCTAGGACTTTTCAGCTTGGAAAAGAGGAGACTAAGGGGTGATATGATAGAGGTATATAAAATCATGAGTGATGTGGAGAAAGTAGATAAGGAAAAGTTATTTACTTATTCCCATAATACAAGAACTAGGGATTACCAAATGAAATTAATAGGCAGCAGGTTTAAAACAAATAAAAGGAAGTTCTTCTTCACACAGCGCACAGTCAACTTGTGGAACTCCTTACCTGAGGAGGTTGTGAAGGGTAGGACTATAACAGCGTTTAAAAGAGAACTAGATAAATTCATGGAGGTTAAGTCCATTAATGGCTATTAGCCAGGATGGGTAAGGAATGATGTCCCTAGACTCTGTTTGTCAGAGGGTGGAGATGGATGGCAGGAGAGAGATCATTACCTGTTAGGTTCACTCCCTCTGGGGCACCTGGCATTGGCCACTGTCGGTAGACAGGATACTGGGCTAGATGGACCTTTGGTCTGACCCAGTACGGCAGTTCTTATGTTCTTAAGTGACCCTTTCTCTAGATGTTCCAGTCCTCTTTATTTCATTTTCCTCTGGTCTCTGGCTTTCCACCTATTTTTCTCTTAAAACTAGTTCTCATAATTCCTATAGCTTTTGACCAATTCCCTGATTTCTACACTGCAAGGTGGGGAGAAGTTGAAGATCAACTTAGTCTGCAGAAGAGAAGAGTGAGGGGGGATTTGATAGCAGCCTTCAACTATCTGAAGGGGGGTTCCAAAGAGAATGGAGCTAGGCTGTTCTTACTGGTGGTAGATGACAGAACAAGAAGCAATGGTCTCAAACTGCAGTGGGGGAGGACTAGGTTGGATATTAGGAAACACTATTGCACTAGGAGGGTGGTGAAGCACCAGAATGGGTTACCTAAGGAGGTGGTGGAATCTCCACCCTTAGAGGTTTTTGAGGCCTGGCTTGATAAAGCCCTGGATGGGATGATTTAGTTGGTGTTGGTCCTGCTTTGAGCAGGGAATTGGACTAGATGACCTCCTGAGATCTCTTCCAACCCTAATATTCTATGATTCTATGATCTAAAACAAGTTCATATTGTGGTTTAGGTGCTTTGTGGGTTTGGTCTTGTACATGTTCACAGTGACTGGATTATGAATTTCACAACTTTTGTCTTGTGGTGTCAGGTAATGAATTTACCTGAAGGAGCTCCATATCTAGCAAAATGGTATCAACAGAAACAGTTAATCACAATAGCTCAGTATATCTTGCTTTATTTTTCAATTACTTCGAATTCTGGCATCAGCTTGGCTTATGATGTCTGTCAGATTCTCTCTCATTTGTGCACATTGGCCTTCAGCTTGATAAATCTTTTTTATATCTTAAAATGATTGTTTGCACAGCTCACTGATAAGGATAAAACATAACATCTCCCCCCCAAATAAAAATAACAAATTAAATGGACAGCTTTTGGGAATGCTTAGGGGGTGAACAAATTGAAATGTATGGTCAAGTGGGCTATCAGAAGGCTAATACTGGCTAAATAACAACATCCTGGGACAAAAATTGTTAAATTGGAGGAAACAGTCTTGGACAGAGAACTGTGGAATTATTCTGACGCAGTCCCATGAAAGCACATTGTTAACTTCATTTATTCTGACAAAGTTATTGCAGATATGTAGAACTCCATCTATAAAACTATTAATATTACACACATATGCTTTATCTCTTACAGCTCTATGTGGGAGGAAATGCTGCCCTAATTGGTCAGAAACTTGCAACAAATCCAAACCTGAAGGTAAGTGTCTCAAAAACCTGGTTTTATTTAATTGTTTGTAATCAGGCTCCAAACCACTTGTATGTATATTCTGGGGATCACACCACAAGATTATGTTCCTTAGTGGAAGCTGAGTCTGACCCAGCACAACTGCTTGTTATGCTACACAAAGAGGAAATGTATCTGGTTTGTAAGCTTCTCTATATCCAATATATTTTGTCTTAATAACACTGCTCTACAGCCAAAATGCTTCTGAAATAAATGTAGT